TCTTCTTCTTCTTCTTCTTCTTCTTCTTCTTCTTCTTCTTCTTCTTCTTCTTCACTAACAGATCTTCTCATTTCAGTGACATAATAAATGATAATAAAATTTCTTTTGGAATCTGAACACTAATTACTGAGGTAACAATAAATGACAAATATTAAGTTTCTAAGTTGAAAATGGGACGAATCGATTATTGTTCTTCCTTTCGTTTGTCTGTTCATGAAATGGTTTTGTAGTTTACGGGACTCTTGAAATGCACCTCCGCTTTGTGACCACAATTTGCTCTATTGGCCGATCACCTCCTCCAAACATCTAACCTCAGACACGTACCCATGTGAATGTGATACTTCTTTTCCCTGTGGTACATTGCCTCCACCTACTTTAGGGTGCTTTTTGTCTTTAAATTCTTCGTTTGAGCTTGTGCTCCACCTTCAAAATGATATCTAATGTTTGCGTCTAGTGAAGCATCCGATATGTAAAAATCATAAATAATAATAATATTGTGCCCGAAAGACTTCCAGCGTGTTCTCTAACGCTCACACAACATAAACTACGTGAGCACAAATTAGGTTGTTGAGTTATCATAAGTTTTACCACCCGAACCTGATTTTATCTTTCCGCTATGAGCTGTTTTTAGCACAATCTTCATAGCTCTCTTAAGAGAAGTGAAATACATGCCGATCTGCCTTGAAAAAAGATATTTTAAAACCCTGCAAAAGAGAACGTTGAGCGCTTACATGAAAGAAACGCAGGTAGATTTCTATCTCAGATCGCAGCTTCTCTTTACAAGATAAATCCAACTGTAGTGTATTCAAGCCCAGTAAGGTGCCATGAGCTGAACCCACTTTCAAACCAGGAAACGTGGGGATTTAGGAGGAGGCAGTACCACCGACATGATGTATTTCACGCCCACCTCATAGATAGAACTAGTCTCCTACAGCGCCCAGCAGCTGGTTCAAACAATAGTTGTTCGCACCGCAGTTCTGCATGATGTGTCAGCTCAGATTATAATAGTTCGCTGTAATACATAATGTCATGTAAAAGCTATTACATGTATGTTTCCCATGCTTTTTTATGCGTGAAAGGTAAACGTGTATGTGGACAGGCCCACATGCACACCCATGCACACGTTACGTATTGACAGCGAATATGAGCAGTAAAATATTCGCCTTGAAGGAAATAATGCCTGTGTGAAAAGGGGCGGGTTTGGCTGAGGGGGCGCCATATGGGCGACCAAGGAACAAAATATTTGACTGGGAAAGAATAATAAAATAGAGTGAGTATTGCATCTTTGGCGCAGTGAGGAAAAGCCCCCCCCCCCCAAAAAAAAGGGGGAGACCCCCCCCCCCTCATTCACCTCCCACCCCATCTAATAAAACTGTGTAAGATTTTACCTACCCTAAGATCATGAGTATTGCTTGAAGACAGCAGTAAGAAGGAGCCAAATAGAAAGGCTACAGAAAAAGTCAGTGGCCCAGAGGAAAGGGATTGGGGGCGGGGGGACGAAAGCAGACGACAGAACATGGTTAGAGAGCAAGAAAGAGGTGAAAGGAGAACATTTTATTAGAGAAGGAAATCTTCCGTCGCTATCAGGTTTCGAACCCGGGACCATTGAACGAGAGGCTAACATCGTACATCAAGAACATGAAAGCCCCCCCCCCCCCCCCCACAACCAAAATATAGCCAGTAATATAGGCTTATTTATATTCTTACAAGCCATATATCGAACTCGTTATTTTTTGTGTGTGTATTATGTGAACCTCAGCCCCGTAACTGCACTAGAAACTCACCCCCCCCCCCCAACCTGTGTTTAGTATTTAGTCGATATCAATATCACCCAAAGTCTTAGATTGCTGTATCCGCAAGTACCCAAGCTGGGGGATCCAGTTTTGTCCCGGGTTGCATAACTCGTAACGGCCCGATCTTTAGAAAAATCCTTATCCAGGGTTGTCTTTGGGGTCCTGTTGATGTCGATATAAATTGAGAATCTGATAGTGATTCCCTGTTTTGTTTAGTACTTTGTGTTCTTAAAAAAAATGCCTGCTGTTGTACTGGTCGTGTGTAAACGGTTGTCAGTGTAAACGCAAGAAGTTCAGTTAAACTGAAATCAGAGTGAAAGCCGTATTGTTATTGAAAGGGCACTAATTCCGTTTATTGCTTCTCTTCCAAATTCACTATTGCCAGTTAAGAAGTAAAGACGCACTCGTCCACCAGGCGAATACTGAAAGCTCATACAAGAGTATAGAGACAGAATTAGATATTATTTTTGTATTCGCACCTGCAATGATCTGACGTTGCAAAATCAAAATTGCGAGACCGCCGCCAAAACTAAGCATAGGTGACGAAGTGGCCAGTCAATCTGTTGTTGTTTTTTTAACTAACCATTGCCGAAAAAACAAAAACAACTTGCTTTATTTTTTATGCTTCACTGAACCCAACAATCAAACAAAGCCATGTTGTACATATAACATGTAAAAACCTGCATCATGATTTCAATTCACCTCAACTGATGTACTATGTGCACAGCGTGAAAAACCATTATCATGATAATGTAATTCAAAGCAACCTACATAAATCAAACTCAATTATGCAGCCCTGACAATGAGTTCTCCGTGCTGAGTTGTTTGTGTTTCAAACACTGTATCTAGTAGTAGTAGAACTAGCCAGTCTTGAAATCGTTTGTAAACTCAAACAACAATCTTTTGAGTCAATCTTAAACTTAACCCCCCCCCCCCCCCCCGCAAAAAAAAAAAAATCTTTTTTAAAATTAAAAAAATCAAAATCTCTTTTGCGTCCATTGTGTAACCTTTCCCACCTCCCAAAGTGAAGCCCCAATTTTCAGAGACCAGGTGTTCACAAACAACAACCTCAGTGACACGCCCTAGAGAACTTCAGCAGCAATACTGAGCAATATAATAGAGCATGAGTGCTTACTAGCACACAAACTCATACCATTGTGCATAATCTAAAAAGCCCAAACTGTTGTATTTTGAATGATCATGTTTCATTTTCATTCAGATAAAATGCTGTGTTAAAAATGTAGACGATTCATTTTAAAAAAAGATGACTGTTTTTTTGTTTTTTTTACCATGGGACAGATGACACTCCATTCAGGTGGGGAATGATCTCCATAAATTATTAACCATCGCATCCCTAAAATACACCACACTGTGTTGAAAGGGACTTAAAAAGCAAAATCTCAAGTGTGTTCAAACTCAAAAGAAAAGGTTGCAGTCATTACCAAGCACTAAGCGTTCAAGGCATGGGTGAGAAAAAAACAACAAACAAGTGTCCATCTTTAGTGCAAAGACAATGATGATTTTTTTCTTCTTCTCTTTCTTCTGTGTACTCCAGCAAGAGTTCAGGGGGGTAACTGAATGAAAGACCACCTCATATTACAGCTGATTTTTAGTATACACATATATCAAACCTGCCCTGTCGGCCACCTCCATAAGACGGCCACCTGCACAAACGGCCACTTTCCATTTCCCCCTTGCGTTTTTTCTATATAATTTAACTGTGTAAAACGGGCACTTGTCCAACGCGGCCGCGGCCACCATATTTTAACACACAACCCCTATCACACTAAGCAATAATACCTGTCTTAGATGGCCACCATTACATTTTGTCATAAATTGTGCATTGTGGGCGAGCCGTCATAATTCAATCACCTGTCGTTGTAGTTAGGTAGTCCCTCCAACTGATCATGTTGCGTAGGCCCCTCCCACTGTTGACCAATAGCAACTAATCAGCTGTTGGTGAGGTAAACGTGTGATCCCTCATAACCCATAAGCCCCGCCCAAAACTCTTACACTAATCGTAAGTGAGATGAGTGGTCACTGTTTACCCAGTCTGTAATAAAGTAACAAAGGACGTCAACATGAACTTGTGACAGAAGCGTTGCTCGTTCTCCAAGTGGTGGCGACCCATGTGTTTGTTTTAACACGGCACTCGGTCTTCCTCGTCTGATACATTTCGGTTTAC